TGACCTTGGATCTCGGCGAGATTTATATCTGACAGGTAAACATTGGCACCACCTGCAGTCAGGGCTGTCTCCAAATACTTGGCGACAGGACGTCAACAAATAGAGACAGGACGTCTACAAATACAAGGGGACAGGACGTCAACAAATACAAGGGGACAGGACGTCAACAAATACAAGGGGACAGGACGTCAACAAATAGAGACAGGACGTCAACAAATACCTGGCGACAGGACGTCAACAAATACAAGGGGACAGGACGTCAACAAATACAAGGGGACAGGACGTCAACAAATACAAGGGGACAGGACGTCAACAAATAGAGACAGGACGTCAACAAATTCCTAAGGACAGGACGTCAACAAATACAAGGGGACAGGACGTCAACAAATTCCTAAGGACAGGACGTCAACAAATACAAGGGGACAGGACGTCAACAAATACCTGGGGACAGGACGTCAACAAATTCCTAAGGACAGGACGTCAACAAATACAAGGGGACAGGACGTCAACAAATACCTGGCTACAGGACGTCAAACAATAGAGACAGGACGTCTACAAATACAAGGGGACAGGACGTCAACAAATAGAGACAGGACGTCTACAAATACAAGGGGACAGGACGTCAACAAATACAAGGGGACAGGACGTCAACAAATACAAGGGGACAGGACGTCAACAAATACAAGGGGACAGGACGTCAACAAATAGAGACAGGACGTCAACAAATACCTGGCGACAGGACGTCAACAAATACAAGGGGACAGGACGTCAACAAATACAAGGGGACAGGACGTCAACATATACAAGGGGACAGGACGTCAACAAATAGAGACAGGACGTCAACAAATTCCTAAGGACAGGACGTCAACAAATACAAGGGGACGGGACGTCAACAAATTCCTAAGGACAGGACGTCAACAAATTCAAGGGGACAGGACGTCAACAAATACCTGGGGACAGGACGTCAAAAAATTCCTAAGGACAGGACGTCAACAAATACAAGGGGACAGGACGTCAACAAATACCTGGCTACAGGACGTCAAAAAATAGAGACAGGACGTCTACAAATACAAGGGGACAGGACGTCAACAAATAGAGACAGGACGTCTACAAATACAAGGGGACAGGACGTCAACAAATACAAGGGGACAGGACGTCAACAAATACAAGGGGACAGGACGTCAACAAATACAAGGGGACAGGACGTCAACAAATAGAGACAGGACGTCAACAAATACCTGGCGACAGGACGTCAACAAATACAAGGGGACAGGACGTCAACAAATACAAGGGGACAGGACGTCAACAAATACAAGGGGACAGGACGTCAACAAATAGAGACAGGACGTCAACAAATTCCTAAGGACAGGACGTCAACAAATACAAGGGGACAGGACGTCAACAAATTCCTAAGGACAGGACGTCAACAAATACAAGGGGACAGGACGTCAACAAATACCTGGGGACAGGACGTCAACAAATTCCTAAGGACAGGACGTCAACAAATACAAGGGGACAGGACGTCAACAAATACCTGGCTACAGGACGTCAACAAATAGAGACAGGACGTCTACAAATACAAGGGGACAGGACGTCAACAAATAGAGACAGGACGTCTACAAATACAAGGGGACAGGACGTCAACAAATAGAGACAGGACGTCTACAAATACAAGGGGACAGGACGTCAACAAATACAAGGGGACAGGACGTCAACAAATACAAGGGGACAGGACGTCAACAAATACAAGGGGACAGGACGTCAACAAATAGAGACAGGACGTCAACAAATTCCTAAGGACAGGACGTCAACAAATACAAGGGGACAGGACGTCAACAAATTCCTAAGGACAGGACGTCAACAAATACAAGGGGACAGGACGTCAACAAATACCTGGCTACAGGACGTCAACAAATTCCTAAGGACAGGACGTCAACAAATACAAGGGGACAGGACGTCAACAAATACCTGGCTACAGGACGTCAACAAATAGAGACAGGACGTCTACAAATACAAGGGGACAGGACGTCAACAAATAGAGACAGGACGTCTACAAATACAGAGGGGCAGGACGTCAACAAATACCTGGGGACAGGACGTCAACAAATACCTGGGGACAGGACGTCAACAAAAACAAGGGGACAGGACGTCAACAAATACCTGGGGACAGGACGTCAACAAATAGAGACAGGACGTCAACAATTAAATGGGGACAGGACGTCAACAAATACAAGGGGACAGGACGTCAACAAATACAAGGGGACAGGTTAATCAGACAGTAGGTCAGGGTCGCCGGTACAGCTCGATAAGGGGGGGGGGGGAATAAGTTGGTGTAGGTAGCAGATATAACTTCACTTCAAACGCTTACAAAACTCCAGACTAGCCGCCATCTTGGTACACAAAACTCCAGACTAGCCGCCATGTTGGTACACCTCTGATTGAGGGATGACGATCCACTCCCTGAGAGACACCACTCTAGGAAACCCCTCTGTAAAACCCCCCGTAAACCCCCTTTGAACCCCCTGTCTGAGAATTATCTGCCCCTTATCAGCAAGCAGAATCTACATGAACAATCAGGCTATTTATAGCCGCGCTAGACGTCTGCTCACACAATACACGCGCATGACAGCAGTCGAACGGCTGACGTTATGTACACATTACACAGTACACGCGCATGACAGAAGTCGAACGGCTCACGTTATGTACATAGTACACACGACTATTGTCACGTACACAGTACACACACGGCTATTGTCACGTACACAGTACACACACGGCTATCGTCACGTACACAGTACACACACGACTATTGTCACGTACACAGTACACACACGGCTATTGTCACGTACACAGTACACACACGGCTATCGTCACGTACACAGTACACACACGGCTATTGTCACGTACACAGTACACACACGGCTATTGTCACGTACACAGTACACACACGGCTATTGTCACGTACACAGTACACACACGGCTATTGTCACGTACACAGTACACACACGGCTATTGTCACGTACACAGTACACATACTGATTATAGTCCCAAGTAACCATAAAACAATGCTATTCTCATGTTTAGCGCGGAGGTGTGCACCGAACTATCGCATGACTATTTGCACAACTCTGGTACAACCTGACTATTCGCACAACTCTCGTACATCCTGACTATTTGCACGACTCTCGAACAACCTGACTATTCGCACGACTCTGGTACAACCTGACTATTCGCACAACTTTGGTACAACCTGACTATTCGCACAAATTTGGTACAACCTGACTATTCGCACAACTCTCGTACAACCTGACTATTCGCACAACTCGCCTATAATTACGGTATAACTCAGAAACTGTTACATACGAACAGAAGATTTTTGTCCCGATTCGGTCAATTTTATTCACTGCAGCTTGCAGTAATCGATAGAACGATATTACAGAAAATCATTTTTGCGATACCTGTTTTTAATTTACCCAAAGTCGACGGATTACGTGTCTCAACGATGGATTAAGTGTCTTAACGATGGATTAAGTGTCTTAACGATGGATTAAGTGTCTTAACGAAAGACTAAGTGTCTCAGATCCGCTATGCCTGATGCTAAATTTAGTTCCATCAAAAACTGCTTTAAAAGATCTCTCTATGTACACAATACACGTACATCTATGTACATCTATCGCGGTCGCTATCACACACACACACACATACTCACACACTTTCTCATAGACACATACACACTCGCTCTCACGCACACTGACGCACACAAAGTCGCTCTGATCTCTTACACACAATCTCTCTAACACACACTAGCACACACATATTCTCACTCTCAGAAACACACATTTGCTCTCTCACACACACACACCACTACACACACCCTCTCACACACAATCTGTCACTACCACTTCACACAACCACACACGCCCTCCTTCTGTCACACACTCTCACACACTGCCACACACTGCCACACACTAACACTATCACATACACACTACCAAACACACACCCAACCACACACACAAACTACCACACACACTACCACACACACAAAACAATATAGACAAACTAACTCACACACTACCACACAAACTACCACACAAACTACCACACACACACACAACCATACAAACTAAATCACACACTACCACACAAACACACTACCACACAAAAACACTACCACACAAACTACCACACAAACACACTACCACACAAACACACTACCACACACACACAAACACACACAACCAAACACACAACCACACAGACAAACTACCTCACACACACACTACCATACACACACCCTACCACACACACACACACACACACACACTACCACACACAAATAACACTGCCATGACTTCATTAAGCCGCTGACAATGAGGGAAACTGTAATTAAAATTTAAAGTCCAAACCACGTGACCGAATAGATCGGTGTTTTAATGACGTCATTAAACCACCATACAGTATGGATGTGTTAATGCTATGTGACCTTGTCTCCAAGGTCACCTAATCTCAAACAGTTGTCGTCAGCGGCCTTAATTAAAAGATCATCAATTAAAAAGCTCGCTGTCTAGGTCAGCGTATCCAGGAAGGTAAATAGAACGAGATTAGTACGAGATTAACTTACCGGATTATCGAAGAAGATTAATCCAGAAATACACAAAACAGCTGAAGAAATATGTAATAACAGGTTATGTAATCCAAAGGCTAGCGGTCAGCTTCTAGTAGGTAGCTACCAGTGGCTAATATGTAGCGACCAGTGGCTAGTAGGTAGCGACTAGTAGCTAAACAGGTAGCAATCCCAGGCTAACAGGTAAGCGATCACAGGCTAACAGGTAAGCGATCACAGGCTGACGTTTGAAAAGTTACCAACTGCCATCATGGCTTGCCGGCGTCTGTTGCCTCACGTCTGCCCGCCCCTACCCCTCGCCCCACAGTCCACGCGACGCTACGATACCGCGGGCCCCTTCAGCCGAATGGTGCGGCAAACCCTACCCCGACTCTCTGAGGGAGAGGTGTCGATCAGCAACCCGCGGGACGAAAGTAACGTGTTCTAGACTCGGGTAGACTTGATGCTGTGTTGGTCTGTCAGGATTAACTTGCACTAGACGCAGGGGCCGCTACTCGCTGATTGCACTGTCACGTCACGACATTTGTGTCGCCGTGCGAACCTGTGTGACGATACCTGTGACGATACCTGTGGGCAGGCACCTGTGTGACCATACCTGTGGGCAGGCACCTGTGTGACCATACCTGTGGGCAGGTACCAGTGCTAGAAAGTTCCTGGAAACAGGTGTTCATGTGAGAAGGTAAGGTTATAATTAGCAACTTACGAGATAGATTAGACTAGAGCTAGATGTCATTTGATGGCCTGGTGATTTATATCATCTGGTGGTCGTGCGCTAGATGTCATTTTGATGTCATCTAGTGACATGTGACATATGTCATTTAGATGTCATCTGGTGGCTGTGGACAACTGATGTCATGTTTGTGGGCCACAAAACATTTCAGACGGTGAAACACAAATTGTGATACAATATATCGCTGTTATACTTGTCACAAACTGTGTTATGTAGTATGTAATAATTCACATCATAAACCAGATACTCATTCACCTGTGGCGGATAGGCCTAGAGAACAAAAATGTCATCATTCACGCAGGTTAAGTAGAGTTGTTCTCATGCGTCACCGAGATTTCAACTCGATCCTTTCATGTACTCACGTCAAAACTCCAACATACAACATATGTGTAACAACAAAATACAACATGTGTGTATCAACATACAACATCTGTGTATCAACATACAACATCTGTGTATCAACATAAAACACGCGTGTATCAACATACAACACGTGTGTATCAACATAAAACATCTGTGTATCAACATATACACACGTGTGTCAACAAGCTAGGGTGTGCAGCATGTCCTGTTAACACACCATCAGCGTGTAACTTCTACACCATCAGCGTGTAACGGCTATACCAACGTTTATGCTAATGACACCGCAGGCTTGTATTGGTAAAAGTATTGTTTGAATAGGCCGTGTCGGCTAGTTTCACACCAGTTGTTGTTTCACACGGTTGTCAATCTGGCGCAGGGCTACATTGCTACGAGGTCACACTACATCAAGGTCACACCACATCAAGGTCACGCTACATCAAGGTCACACTACATCAAGGTCACACCACATCAAGGTCACGCTACATCAAGGTCACACTACATCAAGGTCACATAACATCACGGTCACACTACATCAAGGTCACACTACATCACGGTCACACTACATCAAGGTCACACTACATCAAGGTCACACAACATCAAGGTCACACTACATCAAGGTCACACTACATCAAGGTCACACGGCTACTGCAATAATAGTTCCAGTGTATGATCCCAAAGAGATCCCTCGTGATATCATTGAGTAAAAATGTGTTTAAAGCACCCAGTAATCGAATACACATCAAACCTGCAGGATAACGCAACGATACTGGGATAAACCACACGCAAGTATGTAAATAAACAAATCCTGGCCATTATTTTCTGCACGATACTGGAATCGATACTCATGCATTATTATAAATCATGTTCAGCTTTTAATTAACGATGTCTGGAGCCGCGATGGCGAGTGTGGAGGGGGGAGGGAGGGGGTGTTAATCGTCCACCCCCCACCCCCAACACACACATACCTCCAAGTGTGAGGGCTATTGATCCCCTCCCTTCCTTTGAAGTAGCAACAATTAGTTTTCTCTTGTCCCCCCCCCCCCTAAGTAGCCAGGACTCAAATAAAAATTGTCCCGCAAAAAGGAATCGATACAATTATGCCTGCCGTTCTACTTTTCCGTGAGCGATACCGTCACGTGTTCCGTATAGCCGGAAGTTTGGTAGGCTAATCTGGAAACACAAAGATCAGTAGCGAGGGTTTTATTTGTCAGTAAACGCCCCGTCCCTCCCCGTCCCACCCAGCCCCTCCCCGGGGATGACATTGTGAGCAAACAACTTGCTTGATTGCCGGGGACAAGAAAATATCAATTAATATTCGTGGGGCGGGGGGGGGGGGGTGACAAGGCAGGAGCAGAGACGTGAAGGGTGTGAGTAGAGTATGGGGGTGGGGGTGGGGGAGCGTTCTAGGGGTGTGAGTGGAATGTCATGAGGCGAGGGTGTATAGAGTAATGTGAGGGGTGGGGAGTTGCGGGGGAAGGTGGGGGAGGGGTGTGGGTAGGTGTGAGGGAGGGGTGTGGGTAGGTGTGAGGGAGGGGTGTGTAGGCGTGTGGGGGAGTGGAGTGGTGGGTGTGAGGGAGGGGTGTGGGTAGGTGTGAGGGAGGGGTGTGGGTAGGTGTGAGGGAGGGTGTGGGTAGGTGTGAGGGAGGGGTGTGGGTAGGTGTGAGGGAGGGGTGTGGGTAGGCGTGAGGGGAGTGGAGTGGTGGGTGTGAGGGAGGGGTGTGGGTAGGTGTGAGGGAGGGGTGTGGGTAGGTGTGAGGGAGGGGTGTGGGTAGGTGTGAGGGAGGGGTATGGGTAGGTGTGAGGGAGGGGTGTGGGTAGGTGTGAGGGAGGGGTGTGGGTAGGTGTGAGGGAGGGGTGTGGGTAGGTGTGAGGGAGGGGTGTGGGTAGGTGTGAGGGAGGGGTGTGGGTAGGTGTGAGGGAGGGGTGTGGGTAGGTGTGAGGGAGGGGTGTGGGTAGGTGTGAGGGAGGGGTGTGGGTAGGTGTGAGGGAGGGGTGTGGGTAGGTGTGAGGGAGGGGTGTGGGTAGGTGTGAGGGAGGGGTGTGGGTAGGTGTGAGGGAGGGGTGTGGGTAGGTGTGAGGGAGGGGTGTGGGTAGGTGTGAGGGAGGGGTGTGGGTAGGTGTGAGGGAGGGGTGTGGGTAGGTGTGAGGGAGGGGTGTGTGTAGGTGTGAGGGGAGGGGGTGTGTGTAGGTCTACCTGTCTACAGCTATTGTGTATCACCGTATATGCAACAACCACATACAACAACCACATACAACAACCACACTACCCACATACAACAACCACACTACCCACATACAACAACCACAGTATGTTGCACATACAAGCACAGAATGTAAACAATAGAAACATCGCCTATACTCACGACAGGCCGGGGTTAATTAATTATTAATTAACCAACAATGGATGGACCAGGATGTTTTTTATTCGGGTCCAATTTAAAATGATGTTCCAGTCGCCTTGAAGCGTGTCATAACGATCTGAAGGTGAAGGTCGGATAGGATGGGGGGGTGTGTCATGGTGGTGTCGTTAGCTGGATGTAGCTGGATATAACTGGGTGTAGCTGTGTGCAGCTGGATGTAGCTGTATGTAGCTGGATGTAGCTGGATGTAGCTGGATGTAGCTGGATTTAGCTGTGTATAGCTGGATGTAGCTGGATGTAGCTGGATGTAGTTGAGTTTAGCTTAACAGTGTACGTGTAATGTGTGTCTTTACGTGTGTCGGACATCTTTAAAGTAACATCTTTTAAAATTATGTCCATCTAGACGCCTGGAATCTGATACAGGAACTATCACTGCCCCCCCCCCCCTACATAAGTCTTATTTAATCCCATCAGAATCATACGCTCCTGTTGCTAAGAGAGATAATCTATGCATTCGTTATTTCTCTTTTAGGGGAGATAAATGGCCATCCAAATTGTCTCCCATCACGCTTTCAACACGAAGATCGGCACAGCCGGAATATTCCGGCTCCGATGTATCTTTTAGAAACTAAGTATCTCTAGAGGCTGATCAAAAAGAAAGCCACTTGCCGTTATCTGGCGAAAGTTAGCGATACACCTCATGTGTCAGGCTCCAACCGACCTAATCGGCAGACGTCACAAGACAATTTATTGCAAGATCTCTTCCCTCAACTTTTACTAGCGGGCCCGACTCGTACAGGTTAGCTTTAGGCCAAATACAGGTTAGGTTTAGGCCAAATACAGGTTAGCTTTAGGCCAAGTACAGGTTAGGTTTAGGCCAAGAATAAGTTAGGTTTAGAGTTGCTTAAAAGAAGTCCACCTCCCCCACCTCCGCACGACATATAAAAAATGTAATTTATTTAGAAAATATCTACATTAACTAACCCCCCCCCCCCCCCCTTATAAACACGATAACTTGAGTACCGTTACCGCTAGGTTGATGAAATTTCATATATAAGTATTATATCTAATTTGTAGTTCTGTATCAACTTTTCAGCGATTTCCGGTATCCGGAAGTGGAACTTATTCTACTTTCAATTTTTCAAAAGCCTATAACTTGAGTAATGTTTCAGATAGATAAATGAAATTTCACATGTGGGTCAAAGATCTAATTTTCTGCCTTCTGTCAAATTTCGAGTAATTTCCGTTGATCGGAAATAGTAATTTACGCTATTTCCGATTTCTCAAAAATGCATGTGAATTTATAAAGTACTAATAATTTTCTGCACTATTATACACATATTGTTTGTCATTCACTTGGTGCGCACTTTTTTTTCTACTAGATTCTATTCTATATTTAAAAGTTTACGTAATTCAAAATTGATTAAAAATCATGTCTATACCCCGAGTTGCGATCCCCTGTTGTTTAATATAAGACTATTCCAGAAAGGAGAGATCACTCCAGGTTTATTTTTTTGTTTTATTAAACAAAAAAAATGTTTTATTTTGCTCTATAGAACAACATACCAGGCAAAAAGACATACCAACATTTCGAGAACTGACACACCTAATTAAACACACCACTATTAATTAAACACACCACTATTAATTAAACACACCACTATTAATTAAACACACCACTATTAATTAAACAAACCACTATTGCAAGAAGAATTCAAACCAACTCTCTGAAATGTTTGCCAACAACAAAAGAACGGAATGAGAGACCACTTTAGTGAGATCACACGTAATGTATATTTCCATTTTTAAACATCGCGATCTCTAGAATAAAAATCTATTGGCGTCATAAAAGTTGCCGTCCAAGTTAAACTATTTGTTGCCATTTTTTTTTAAATTCCTCTTTCTTTTGCTTTTTACTTTTTTTACCAGAGCAAAAATCTATTTTTGTCCTTCGGGAATTCTAGGCAGACATTTTGAATTATACAGCATATTGATATGCAAGTTTCGTTACGTGCGGAATGTGCAATAAAATGTAAACGATACAGAGGGGGTGGGGGGGGGGGGGGGGGGGGGGAGAGGAGGGAGAGGAGGGAGTGAGAGAGGAGGGAGAGAGGGTGGATCGAACGTCATCTGGTGGTGTGATTAGATGGGTTACCGTGGTGTCTAGTGGTGTCTAGCGGTGTCTAAAGGTGTCTAGTGGTGTCTAGTGGTGTCTAAAGGTGTCTA